CACAATTAACCCTAAACAAGATTATTAATTATCTTATTAAGCGTGATTACAAGTACCAATTCCCTTTAAACATGCAATAAAGGTGATCAAGCAATAACAATAAATAATGTATCAAACAACATAATAAATAATCATAACAATAATAATAATCATAATAATATCATCATAGATAAAATAATCATCATCAGAATAATAATAACAATAATATTCATAATAATAACAATTATAATCATAATTATGTTCATGTCAATATTAAAGCATAATAATAGCAAGATCCTAGGCATGATACTAACAAGATTAATAACAAACCCTAGCATGTCACTAAGCAATAAAAATCAAATCTTTAGCCCTAACATGATACTAACAATCATAAATATTAGGAAGAACATAGGAAACATCGCGGGAATCATAATAAGCATATTTGATATTATAACCTTTTCCCTAAACATGATACTAGGAATATCATAATAACAATTTAAACATGATTTCTACATCATAATATCAATTAATCAATAAAAATACTTACTTTGATGCTTCGTACCTCTTTCTAGTAACAAAATACACACGTTAGTAAATTCAAGGAAAATAATAAACAAACAATTAAATTAAATAATTGAAAGAGAGATTTGGGACCAAACCCTCAGAAATTAAACCTTTCACGTCTAGGGCAAAGGCAACTTCGAATATGGCTAGGTGTTTCTAGATCTTGCGAATGCAGAATTTTGTATGCGAAAACAAGGTTTAGAGAAAGAAAGAAAGAAAAAATTGAATGAATGAATATAGAATGCTAATTAAAACTGATTGTAGATGAGAACTCGTGAATGATGAGAATTGGTGAATGACTAAGAGAGAATTAGAGATTGTGAATGAAAACTGATTGTAGGTGAATGTAGATTAAAATTGATTGTTGATGAATGAAAACGGAGTTTTTAATACGATATTTATAGAGAAAATCAGCCAAAAAGATAAAATATTATAAACAGAGTCTGACGCACAAAAAACAGAGTTGGCGCCAACCCTGGCTAACTGGCGCCAGGCACCAACACTAGCGCCAGGCGCCAATGGCTAGCGCCAAGCCTGGTTCCAGGCGCCAAAGCCTGGGGTCAGGCGCAAGCCTATTTTCAACGCGTTTTCGAAAATCAGATAAGTTTGCCGTACTGGAGGATAAAATCATATAATTTCCTCGAAAATGCTATTTGATTTTAATTAAAACTCTAAAAAAGTCAAAAGTCAATTTATCAATGCTAATTGAATTAGGAATGAAAAGAACCTTCTAGAAGAATCTAGAAGGCTAAAACCATTTCTAATTGCATTAGGAATGATGAATCATATTAGGCCCTCCTCTAGATCATTGGGCCGCATATAAGACTCAAAACGGGCCCAGTTTAGTAAATTGGCCATAACTTCCTCAATATTCATCGGAATTGGGCTTATAATATATCGTTGGAAAGGTCTTGTCAAGCCCCATCCAACTACACTCCTATTGGACCCATATCATGGACCAACCAAATTGGATTGGCTGTTTTCTTAAAATAAGTTTTCAAAAACAGAGAGAAGAGAAAAGAAATTAAAGCTACCCGCAACGCTAGACTTTCCACACTTTCACTTCAATCGATTATGATTCGACGTGAAAGGTACTCATCACCGGGTTTGGTTTTGGGGAGACACAAATGGGTGTCTACAGTAATAAATGTATATTATGATTAAAAATATAGATGGGAAAGGTAGCTAAGTTGGTAGAAGTTTTAGTTGCATTCTATTAGGTCATTGGTTCAAGTCTTACTAACTACATATTTTGGTAACTTAATTTTGACTAGGGGAGCCAACGCGCGCGATGCGCGCAGAGCTGCTTACCCTTTCTTGTTGTTTTAATTGGGTTGTGTTTTATCTATTTAAGACGTTGGTTTTTTGGGATATTAGTTTTGTAAATTGATGGATTGGATTTTGCCGTTTTGTGAAGGACATTGTAATTAAGTTGTTTGCACCAATGGTATAACATATGACAACAGAAGTTGTAGTTTAAAGGTGCAGTGAGCTGATATAGTGACCATCATATTGATGTAGTGCAATGAGCTTAACATTGTGCTTTGAAAGGGTTTTGCTGTATAACAGCCTACATTGACATTTATTATTTTCTCTCAATAAAAGAGTTCTTACATGGCACATAAGTTTAGATTAAACCTACATATATACATCTGTATATATATTTCCTCCGTTTTCTTTTAGATGCAACACACCCTTTAGCGCGGTAATTAAGAAAGGTGGGGTTTACATGATATAATAAACTTTAAAATAGGATGAGTGGTTGTTAGGAGTGTAATTTAGTGGGCTATGTGCTTTAAATAAGGAAATAGTATAGTTTCTCCCTAAAGTAACTTTCCTTTTATAGTGTGTTGCAAGTATTGTGACATTTCCTTTTTAGGGAAGTGTTGCAAGTAAGAAAAACGGAGGAAGTGTATATATATATATATATATATATATATATATATATATATATATATATATACTTCCTCCGTTTTTTTATTTGACTCGCTTTGACTTTTACACTATTCACCTCCCCTCCTTTGACCATTTTTTGTGAATAATATATAACGAAAGACATATTCATGCGGGATCTTTTTGAATTCGTCTCAATAAATACTATCAAAATATATAACTTTTCTAATTTTTACTTATGGAGAATTCAAGTTATTGATCGTTAAAATTTTGCATTGACAAACGTGATAAAAGAAACAGATTAAGTAAAAAGGAACGGAGGAAGTAATACTTTGGAAAAAGTGTCGTTTTAGGACACATGCTTTATTTATTTTTTTCTGGCAGTTGTAACACCCCAATAATTCTCCCTTTTCCAAACCACTTAATTTAAATATAATAGTGGAGAACCATTGGCATGTTACCGCCACGTGTTAAAACATTAAGGCTTTATCAAAGTATCGCAGCGGAAAATCAAACTTAAGTCTTTAAAATAACATAGTTTAGAAAAACGAATAAGTCAAAGCTTACAAATTGGAACCATAAAGGCCCTTATTTAAAACCAAACCAATAATCAAAATCTAAAACATAAACGTATAGCAAAACATAAATAAGTTCAACACAAGAATCGGATACTTTCAATCACACCAATCCCTTGACAATGCGTTTGTCAAATCCTGAACTTCACGTCATCAAGCTAACCTGTGCGATACTGCTCCCCAATAATACAAGTGTAATGATTGGATCATCACAGGGTCATTGAAAGGTGAAGGCCATAACCAAAAGAAAACACACATAAAAGCACGCAATCAGCAAAGCTGAGTACATACAAGCTACAACGCACAAAACCTAGCATGCTCAACTAATTAAAGTAAATAAACATACGACGTGAAATCATTAGTCAAGACTCCACACTTAAATAATTCAATTGACTCAACATACTTACTAACTAATTCCAAACACTTGACTCTTTATATTTAATTTAATTAATTTAATTGGAGTAAGCAATAGACGAGGTTGTCCAATCCACCAAATCATTTTGGTCCCAAATGACCATTTGAAATAAAAGGTTAACGCGATGCAAGAGTGGGCGCGACTCCATTCTCACAAAGTTAGTCTAGGATCCTATCTAACTTTCATTATAAAATAAAAATGTAAATACCAAAAGAAAAGAGGACATGTTGATCAAACAAGCCTCGGAAAGCCACGGGCTACCACCGTGTACCCCAACCCATAATTGTCAATACTCTAGAAGTGCACGCTTTCCAGAGTTTTATTGCTCATCCATGTTTCACTTTACGTGATTACAATTTTAATTAATAGCCGACTCATTCAAGTAGACCATACATAACAATCATACATAAATTCACTTTTAATCTTATTTAGGACAACAGTGATCACATAACAAATTGACCTTTAATTCTATTAAACTTCCAAATTATCCAAAATTGTTGAACGTAGTCAACTCACCTAGACATTTCGGCTTAATCCACCTTTACTCAACATGCTAACAAGCCATGATTGAGTAATAAATAAAATAATAATAACCTTGTGGAATAATCAATAAATTCGTTCCACTTAAACCATTTAATTCCAATCCTTCAATAATCAAAGTATGGTTAACAAACCAATCCAATAAAACATGCTTGTATCAATATTCCATACAAACAATTAATCCAATATAATTTGACATGCTTGTATCCATGATTCCGTACAAACATAATCAATTCACCAAAACATGTCTCATAAACATAAGCACATGAATTAATTTAATGTATAACCAAACAATTTTCATCCAAGAGTGCCCTAAACATGAAACTAAGTTCATTTTTTTGGTACCTAAACATGATACTACTTACAATGAAGTAGACATGTATGTACCTCGCTCGTGTAAACAATCCTTTGTGCCACTTTTAATCACTTAAAAGTCTCCTAGGGAATAATCACCTCCTAGAAAACAACCAATAATCACAAATTATATACAAAACTAATCTTAAGTAACACCCAAAATGTGTTACATAAAGTAGTAAAAGTGTTATTATAGACAATAGGTAACACTTTTTTGGGTGATACTTCCGCCCATGTTACCTTAGGTCTTTTGTAACACTTTAGGTGTTGTATGGTAACACTTTCAAAAGTGATACTATAAACCCTCTTATGTAACACTTTTTATAATATTAGTATCAATTTTAAAGTGTTACTTTTTATTTCTTAGGTAGCACTTACTTGTCTTTGGTAACATTTTTCAATCATATAGTAACACTTTATCTGACATTATGTATCATTTTTCGAACAAATGTAACACCTAATTGATTATTAGGTAACATTTTTCAATAAGTTTTTTTTATATATTGTAGCACTTTATTTGATATTATGTATCACTTTTTACAAAATAACGTATCACCTTATTAATTAATAGGTAACAATTATTATTAATATGCAACTTTTTTCTATTTCTTAAATATAAAAATAATATTAACATGTACAACAATTATGAATGTGAAACTAACACATACAATAGACAATAATTTGAATTGATAAAATTTCGTAGTTTATTTAAAAAGAATCCATAAACACCAATTTTTTGTTTGCCTAAACAATTTAATAAACAGAACAAAAAGAAAGTGAACCCTGGTCTCTAGCTTGACCACCAAATTCACAAACATGATAAACAAAATAATTTAAAACAGTCGCGCGGTAGCAAATAGACAGCAGTAGCAGCAGCTAGGTGTAGCAATCGATAGCAGTAGCTAATAGTAACTGCATTCAACAGTACCAGGCTAGCAGTAAAAGTGGCTAGTAGAAGCTTGCAGTAATTGCAGTGAGTAATACTAGGATAGAAGTAGCAGCAGCTTGTAGTAATTGTAGTGAGTAGTACTAGGCTAGAAGGAAAAGCAGCTAGCAGCAACTTGCAGTAACATTAGTCAGCAGTACGAGGCCAACAGGCAGTAGTAGCAACAAACATCAGCAGCAACAAACATCAATAACAGCCTTAGACGTCAGTACCAGCAGCAGCAATATAATAACAGTAACATTGGCAGCTACATACATGCAAGCATGTGTTTTTTTTAGCCCTGTAGCATGGCGGAAGTATTTCTTTCCATCGTCTTCAAACTTCCAATGCTCTAACTCATGGTATCTCACTCCCCTGCTCAAAATGGAAGAGCATCAGTAAATATAATGAGAATTTTAAAAAGTACAAAATGATAGTCAAAGAGTAAATGAAATGTACTTTTGAGCAGGACACGACCAGGTTTCTTACAACTAACCTAAGTAAACTCGAGGCTTTGAACAATGCCTAATCAAGGTTGTTCTTAATTAAAGTTGCTGCAATTTATTACATAAAGATACTCCCAAGATGATAGTACTCTCTGAAAAATAGGAAGAGTTGCTTGAATAAAAGATGCGAGTGTAAAAAGTAGCATCCAAGAAATTTTCTTTATTAGAAAGGATAACAATCACAAATCTGTATGCATAATTTCCAAAGTCATGGACATCAGAGCGATGATCATAAGTTATAACTTAAATTCTGTATCATGTCTTGAAAGTCACACATGCTATTATTACTAGGAGCTCGTTTCCCCATCTCCCTACCCCCATTAACCCCTTACTATTTTTCACTATTAGAATGAATAATTACCAGGCTATTTATGCAATACAATCAGCTCAGCCCACCACCAAGTCAATGATACATGTTTAGCTGCTCTAAATTTGCCGACATTATTTAGATGCTCAGTTTCTAATCTAAAAAGATAATATATGCAAAGGGCAGTAGCCACCTCAGCTTGAAAAGGTAGCAGTAGCCTTGCCTTTGCAGGGCAGCAGCTGCACCCACACCCCCTACACACACACCCTGCCCTACAAACACCCCCTGCCCTGCAAAAACCCCCCTCGCCCTACCCTTGCCTGAAACCAGTCCTGAAGTTCAGTTCTGAATTTAGTTCTTAAATTCAGTTATGAAAATAAGTTCTAAAATTCAATTTTGGTTTGGTAATTCAGTTATGAGCTTTGGTTCACATATTCGATTTTCAACTGAGATTTGACACTACATCCATGACCCTATTTAATTCTTACTTTTGTTAATTACATTGCAGTTCTTTACTCAAGAAGCTTATTCATCAGAAGAGATTGATGAGATACGAGACATATAGGTTAAATATTTGCTTATGCAACTAAATTAAGCTAATGAAGAAGTCAAAGACGGTAGTATGGTAATTGCTCGAGTTTTGGTTCAAATTTTTATTCAACAGTTAAGACTTTGGAACATTATAATATTATGGTGATGTTTTTGGAAACAGTGGTTGATGTATAGTGCCATGGTTTTTTTTTGTAATGAATCTATGCCATGCCATAAAAGTGTCTATGTTTAGATTGTCCAAGTATGATAGTAGAAGAGAAGCACAAGAAATATACACTTTAGTGATATGTGCAAATTCAGTTCTTTTTACATGCTCGCACACCCTTAAGCTCTCATCATAGGTGAACATTATACAAAAGAGCTGAAATATTTTGTAGTCTATGTGGTTTGGGCTTAGATGCACTCTTTTGCTTTATGTCATGCCATAAAAGTGTATGTGTTTAGCATGATAAGATTTTAATGATTAGTGGCATACTTATTATAGATGGCTACAAGTTCAACATAAATTCCTAACGCATCACTGACACAGTGACACCTATTGACTCATGGGTCCACAATAACTCTAACAATAAAAAAATCACAGTGTTCCTATATGATTTAGCTACTATCTAGAGTACTACTACACATGATGATCATATGGACAAAACTAAAATGCGACTTTTATAACTAAGATGAACAGGAAAGACACACTAATATAGTGAGATTTAGATAAATCACATGCCTTGCTAGCACTAAATTAATGCATATTTTAAATACTCATTCAAACTTTAGTCATTGCATAACTCTTATAAGTACTACTTTACAGTAAAGTAAGACTATCATGCTAATTTGCTAGTCCTTGCACAACCGAGAGCTTGGCTAGAAGTGACTGATAATGTAGCTAGGAGAAAGAGATAAACAAAGTATTAAAACTGAGTTTTCTGACTGAAGTAGAAGCTAAACTTATCTGACAACATGAATCCAAATAAAAAAAAATCAAGCAAAATCCAGGAAAAAAAAAAGAGTGAATCGCAGAAAATTAGCCAAATAATCATCTTACTCGCCATGGAACCCTTGCTGAAACTCAATAGCTTTTCACACCTCATTTTGTCATACCATTCAATCTTCAAAGAAAAGAATCAATTTTTTATAAGAAAATAGTATTTAAAAAAAAAAATTACTACACTAAATGACTAAGTGGTTAGTAAGAGAGTATTAATACAATCATTCAGCTTATTAGTTGACAACTCAATATATGCCCAAATGTGAAGGAGATCACAACCTATATCAGCCTATTAGTTGAGTGGATTATCAATTTTTAATTTGTTTAAAGTAACAAAATGGGGTATAGTGTTGGTGTGGGGTCAATGAGGAGGAATCATCATATATAATTCATATTAATATTTCATGGAAAACAGAGATTAGTAGTTATACTGAAGATACAGTGCATTACTCAAACATTTGTAACAAAAAAGAAAAGGAGGGAAAAAATTGGGGACAATACTTGCTTTTATCTAATCTTGACAAATTGGATAGGTGATTACGTATAAAATTGCACCATGATTAATATCATTATCTTCCCTTTTCAATTTTCAATTATAAATTAATGTGAGAATCTAATAATAAATAATAATAGCATCACAATAGTGCTTTGGAGTTATACCTAATTCAACTTACAAAACAAAATAATTAATTTGTCATTCTCGTATTTTCCTTGGTTGATAAGATCTATGATGTAAAATATTAAGGGGCAATGAAACAAAAAAATGTTACCAGGCTGCAATATAATATTGATAAGCTCATTGTAAAATATTAAGGGGTAATGAAATGCTGAATAACAATAACCTTCTTTACCCAACAAACAATAAGAGCATACTTGGTAAAAATTATAGCAGAACCATATTTAATAGAGCTATAACACTCTCTAATGGACTTAAAAAGATGGACTACTAGAGTGATTGCTTTGTCATTGGTACACACCTAGCAGTCTAAGCCACAGATAGGTGAATAATTAAAGAATAATGGAGACATGATTAAGAAAGAGATTGACAACTGAAATAATGTAACACTATCAGTAAGAGCACGGTAACAACTAAAACTCACAGAAAAACTTTTAAAGGTAAAAACATGCCTCAAATATGTACTCTCCCGGAATAAACTTTGCTATCAAACACCCCAAGACATATGAACAGACATTACACCTGTGATCCAACTGAATGCTGCAACTCTTTTTTAATCCTCAACTACATCTACCTATCAAAAATAATTTTTATTCTTACATTTGCAAATTTCATTTGACAACTTGAGTAATATCTTACCGCATAGGCAATAAACGAATGCCCTGGACGTGCTAATAAACTCATCAGACATCTAAAATCCCAAAAGAAATTAAGCAAAATCTAGAAATAAAAAATGAGTGAAATGAAGAAAATTAGCCAATTAATCATCTTAACCCCACAAAATAAAAGCTTGGAAACTGTGGCAGGGGATGCAATTATCACAAATTTCTTACAAAAGTAACAAATAATCAGAAAATGTATCATAATAATGAAAAATATAAACCCAATTCATAATTAGAGTTTAATATAACTAAGAAAAACATAAACAAAAACAAAAACAAAAAAAAAAAAAATCAAACCTTGCTGTAGTGGTGGTCTTGGTAGTAGCAATAGTCGTAGCTTAAATATCAAACATCGTTCCTCCAATTATATTTGGCATTGCCTTCGAGTTCTGCATCTCTTTTGCCCATAATTACCTGGATTCTCCACAATCAATTCAGAAAAGAAAATGATTAAATTAAAATGGGTAAAATTAGTCAACAAAGATCAAATTATAAGGTAAATCAAATTAGCAGTAATCGAAAAGAAGAAAAAACAAAAATCCCAAACTCATATAAATACTTCCACCAATTTAGATGCATGCAAACTTGAATATAAATATAAATCAAATTAAGATATCATCAACAAGATTAGAGGAAGGGAATAGAAACCCAAATTCTAAATAGCTCAAACTCTTATTGATAATTGAACAAAACTAACACTAACCCTAACTTTAAGGTGGAAGCCACCGATGATGTAGGTCGGGAGGTGGCAATTGCTGCCTTTGGAGCACGGGTTGCGAACTTGCGATGGTGGAAGGCTGTGGTGGACGAGATTTACAGTGGAGCACCGAGAGTGAGAAGGGGTAGTGCGGTGGAAGCCGATGAAGAGGGCTAGAGGGGACGTACAGTCTAAGTTTGAGGGATGGAGAAATAGGTAAGAAGGTTGTGACGTTGTGATTGAGGGTCAATTTTAATTAAAAAAAATTAAAAAAAAATCAATAAATAAGTTTGGGATTGTTAAAAAAAAATAATAATAATAATAATAATAAAGATATTCGATAAGAATAAGAAAAAAAAAGGATTAGCATATCAAATTAAATGTTTTTATTCAAAAAATAAATAATATTAAATTAAGTGTTACAACCAAGTGCTACCTTATATCAAAGTGTTACAATAAAGTGTTACATAATATTAAGGTGTTACAAAAATGTTACATAATACCACAATGCTACAAAAGTGTTACTAAAAAATCGAACAATTATAAAAATTTTAAAGTGTTATCAATGGGTGTTACTTAAGCTCAACTTGGTAGTAGTAATCTTAAACAAATTTCCAGCAATATAAATTTGATTAAAACTCCTTAAAACATCATTTAAAACATGTTTTTATGCTTAATTAATCAATTGAAATCTAATAGGAACAAAAGCCCCAAATTAATTGATCATAAGAGCCCTAAAATCCCAATTTAAATAAATTAAAACCCTAGGTTTTATAATCACAAAATCTGAAAATTTATAACATAATTAAAATATGAAAATATAAGTTTAAGCTATCAAAAACATGAATTTGATAAATATAAAATTTATACTAAACTAATTATATGAACATTAAGCAAAAATAAGAAAATAAAGGAGGAATAAGGGGAGGAAGGTAGCCACGGTGCCCAGCCGGGCTGCTGGTGGTTTGCCGGTGACAAGGGGGCGGCGCCAGAGTCCGGTGGGTGGCGGTGGTTGGTATCATGGTGAGTGAAAACTCACGTAAGAAAAGAAAAGGAAAGAAAGAAAGAAAAAGAAAAGAAAGAAAAAGGAAAAAGAAAAATAAAAGAAAGGAAAGAAAAGAAAATTAAAAGGGAAAAGAAAATACTAACCTTTTTGTGTGGGGAAAATTTTGGGGATGTATAGGGTATTTATAGAAGAGAGAATTCTAGGGTATGTAGGAATATTGGGTCTCATGCAAATTATGGGTCAATTAAATAAGTAAAGCGAGTCTGACTTTGTTTGTTTGGACATGAATTATAGAATGAAGGTACATATAATAATTTGTATCAAAATAATTTTCGACCCAAATTAAAAATTTGAAACTTTTTAAATTAAATTCTGGAAAAATACCAATAAACATTAAATAAAATAAAATTTTATTTATACATTATTTAAAAATATGGGAGATTGCAGCAGTACTAAATAAGTTTAAACATATATCTAAGGATAAGGTGGCATTTAAGGACACATGGTTGGCTTTATATATATATATATATATATATATATATATATATATATATATATATATATATATATATATATATATATATATATATATATATTGTAGCCTTTGCGTGTTTAGTCGATGGCAATGTCTTTGAGATCCCATTTGAGGACCCAGATTCTGGCGAGAGAAGTTGTTGGTGCAATTTGGAAATGTTTTGCCTTGGTCCTCAAGTTGGTTGCTATTTCTTCAAATTCCAGCCAATCCACTTGTCCAATAATGCAGATAACATGTTAGTTGAGTATTAATTTCATGATTTGATTATTTCTTCGGTTGTTTTTAGTTTGGGCAGATGGTTATCGAATGTGTATAAGCAGTCGTTATGTAGACGCTACATGTTATTTTAGTTGTTGGCTCTTTAGTTTATTTTATAGATATAATTACCTTTTTTTTGTTCTTACCGCCATTTTCTTCTAATATATCTCTGAAGTAGGCAGACCAATAAGCTTTTCGCAGTCTTCAACAAAAGCAGGGAGTCTAAGAGTCCCTGTGGTGTCACAGCCGTCACTCACATCGATGGTAAAATTAATCCCGTGTTTAACGAGATATTAGTATTTTGATATTTGTAGTTGTGAAATAGGTTTGATTAAAATAGAGTCTAACCTGACTATAACAATACATTTGTTTTTTTGAGCAATGTAGGCATTTGAAAGATGTGTCCCTAGATTCTTGGCAACGCTTTCCACACTTGTTACATCCTAGGTAAGCAATCAGGTTTGCTAACTCTACATTTGGGATAGTGGCTTGTATCCAATGACGTTAGTCTTACATTGTGTTTCCAACCTGCAAGGTTTAAATTCCAGCAATTATTGGTTAATAGATAGGGGTTGGTTATCTATAGTCATGGGGGGATGTTGGTGTTACATTTTCTCCTCAATTTCACTGATAGTTTTGACTGCAGTTGTTCTTGATGGTGTTCTGATGTGCAGTGACCTAGTCAAGAAGCATTGCTTGTTTTTCTTTCATCCAAGGATGTACAAAACGACAAATTAGTACAAATTATTAGGGCTACATAAGGTACGTAAGTGCAGTGTTGATTTCATTGCTTACCATGTTCGAAGAGCATGTGCTTTCTCCCCCATTTTATAATACACAACACTGAACAACCACTGACAATCTCAATTTGGGGAAGCCTTTTTGTTATCGACACTGTTACTACGAGCATGTGTCTGAAATGACAATATTTGAAAGGTCTTCCACCTGGGACTGGCCTATGTGAGACATTTTTAGTAATTCGTGATGCGACCTACAATCACCTCGAGGGAATATAAGTGGATATTGTAGCGGATCGTAACAGCGATAATAATAATGATATATCCTATGGCTCTTGTTTGATTTCCCATGAACAGTAATGTGTGGGTTGTTGCTTTGGCTAGATTAAGTACCTACACTCCATATCACAACTACTTCTTCAAACTTCGGAGCATTGTAAACATGTTGATCAAGAAATGGGGTCTTTATTGAGATTGATTTCAGTCTCTTCAGTGACTTCAATCTCCCGAAGAGACTTGAAAAACTTGGCATATGGATTTAAAAGCATAATAGCCATGAGCAAGGGAATTACACTCAGACATAACTCTGAAAAAAGACCATGTCTATTTTCTGCCTCAAACATAGCATCATAGAAGTAAAGTTGTAAATATTTGAAATTAATTACACATTTACGTTAAATGCAAAACAAAACTATTCCGATTTGCCAAATGGAGCGCGCGCATCGCGCGCGCAGAAGTCGAAAACTAGTATCTATGAAAATTTTCAAATTCACCACATACCCTTGAGTTTAACAAAAATGTCATAAAACCCCTTAATGACTGACAACATTTAATTTCGTTTACCATTAGGGTTAATTATGCCACGTGGAAGCATGTTATTGGTTATTATTAAATTAATTAATTAAATCTTATAAAAATAGCTTAAAAAATTTTCCAAAAAAAAAAACAAAACACCACCTCTAACCACCACTAACGAGCCACCTTAGCCCAACCATCTCCCCAAAACTGACACGCGACACTCAGCCCAGCCTCACCGTCACCGTGCCTCCACACCGCGCCGGCGACACCTTACCTTTAGCCCTGCGCTAATGCCCGCTCGTTCCCCAAACCACCATACCCTCTCCTTCTCGTTGAACCACAAAAACCCCTTTCCACCTTAGAGGAACATCAAACAACCACCCCAAATCCCGTTTGCTGGCAGCCTAAGTCTCATCCCCAACGTCGCCACCGCCTACCTTAGCCGAAAACCACCAGCCCAAAACCGTTAAACCCCAAAATCGAAACCCTAAAAATAAAAATCTAGAATTTCGATTTTGGGGCTTTTTTATTTAGGGGTTTCGTTGAGGTGGTTCAGGGGATGGAGGTGGCAGCGGAAGTGGTAGTTTGAGTTCGTCGGCTCGGGGATGGGAGTATGGGCGCCGGCGGTGGGGAAGGGAGAGGTTTTCAAAATAGAGAGGAGGGGCGGTTTTAGGTTTGGGGAATTGGTGGTTCAAGGGTTCCGGCTGATGGGGTGTCGAATTGGCGGTGGCGTCGGCGTGAGGGTTCAGGCGAAATCCTTGTCGGCAGGTACATGGTGGCGGTCGGGGACTGGCTGGTGCTTGGAGGTTTTTTTTTATTATTTGTTTTATTTTTTTTATAATTAATTAAACATTTATTTTAAAATTAAAATATAAATGGCATCCAATCATAAGATGCCACGTGGCAAATTAAGCCTAAATGACTAACACAGTTAACGTCCGTTAGTCATTTGGGTATTTTGTAACAATTTTTGTAAACTCAGGGGCATATGGTAATTTGAAAAATTTCATGGCTATATGGTGAATAAAAAAATAACTCAGGGGCATTTGGTGAAATTTCCGTTGTATTATTTACTACAACTTTTTCTGAATTTTTTTATTTGCTTGTTTTTTTTTTTCTTTTCAAAATGTAATAATTGGTCAGTTTTCTTCAAGAATCTCATATTTCTCATTGCAACACCAAAACCACATAAATCACAAATTAATTCCTCCCAAAAAATATAACCAAATATTACAATTTTCAACAAATCTATAAAACACAAACACTTGAACTCAAAATAAACAAGTATGAATGTCGAATCTGATCTTACCTTTCGTTTTTGTCTTTCATCTTCCACCATAAAGTTCGAAATTCACGATTTTTTTCTTTGGGTTTAATGAGTTTGAAGCGATTTTCAATTTTTTTTTTTGGGAGAGAAATCTTCTAGAGAGAGAAAAGTTCTAGAGAGAGAGTATATAATTTGAAATGATTTGAAATTTTTGTATGGTTTTTCCTTTTTTATAAAATGAAGCTCAAAATAACTCATGCACATTAGAATTGAACAATATGTTCTTTTCTATAGCCATGTACAATATGATATAACATGATGTACATTCCGCTTTTTAAAAAAATTAAACAAAACCTTTGCGTTTTATTCACAACCCGGTGCGTTTTGCACTTGATGCACCATGCAGATCGTGCATCCGCCTACAGGAACCACTGATTAGTAAATATTGTGGTGGTACATTATCAGGAAACAAGTCAGGAATATAATGATAGAGTTGTCCATGAACCTTGAAAGCATATATTCCTTTATGAGTATTCCTACCATTGATCCACCAATTGAGCTAAAAGTAAATAGGTTATTGTAAAGGCGAGAATATGTCTTAAAATGTTCAGAATCATCATCATTAGAAGTAGAAAGTTTATCTAATTCAGTGGATAAAG